TCCCCCCTATATCCACACCATCACCCCTCCCTCTCTCTGTCTCTCTCTTTTGTGATAGGGTCTCACTACGTAACTCTGGCTAGCCTGGAATTTGCTATGTAGGGTAAGCTGCCTTCAAAGTCACAGAGATCTACTTGCTTCTGTCTCCTAAGTGCTGGGATTAAAGGCGAGTGCCAGCATAGCCATTGGTAGTATTTTTCTTAATATGTTCATGGCACCTTTTTCATTTTTGTTTTTCTTGCTGTTTTATTACATTTCATTAAGTTGAATGCCTCAGTCTCCAGTGTACTGTGATGATGGTCTATACCACCATGCCCAACTTTGAATCCTCTTTTCTCTCTCTGAGACAGGATCTCACTAAGGAGCTCAGGCTGGCCTTGAACTTCTGATTACCCTCCTGCATCAGCCTCTCACGTGCTGAGCTTACAAACAGGTGCCACTACCCCAGCATCGCATTACTTCTCTCGGTATTTGCACACTCACACTTCTACATGTGTGGGATATGCACGTTTCTGTAGCCATGTGCATTTGTGCATGCAGGTACAGGCAGAGGGCAGAGGCTGATGGGAGGTGTCTCTCAGGGCTCTCCACCCTATTTTGTGAGACAGAGTGTCTCGCTGCGTCTGGAGCTCATCAATTTGCCTGGCTGACTGGCCACTGGACGCCACTGACCGGCCCATCTCTGCTCTACCAGCACTGGGGTTACACACATGCCCCTGCACCCAACTTCCACATAACCGCTGGGAGTCTAACTGACCAAGCCATCTTCCCAGTTCCCATGTTCCCAGCTAACTCTGAATAATTTCATTACACCACAGTAACTTGAAGGTAAGTTAAATGTCACTCCACTGATTGCATCTTCCACTGCTGTTTGAGGCATTAAAAATGTCTAACAGCACATTCCTCTTGACATTGCATTACTCTTACTTGCACTTTGGTCCAGCCTTTTCACCAACCTTCAAAAAATTTTCATAATTGATCATTGCTTCCTCTCCAATCATAGGTGGTATCTGGTGTTTATCCAGCAAAAACCATAAATTCTTAAGAGAATTAGGGAAATGAAGATGTTGTAAGTTAACAATGGATTTAAGATATAAATGCATCATTTATGTCTAATAAGGTTAACATGAATTTATGTCCCACTATTTTGTTTACTAATTAAAATAACATACTTATTGTGCCTACTAAAGTTTTAAGCTTTCAAAATACATTGATTCTTTAATCCATGTAACTGTCTGTCTCTACATGTGGGAATAAAGCATAAAGACTCAGATCCACTGCCTAAGGTCACACCATGGCAGGGCTAGGCTCTGAAGCTCTGCAGAGGATTTCCCAAACCTTGACTACTCATTAGGATTATGTGGGAACTTAAAAAGCAAAACCATAAAAGCACTATCTTCAGAAATCAGGTCACACAGGCTCAGCAGCTGATTTAGCGCACGCACACACACACACACACGCACACACACAGACATGCTAGTTGCTTCAGATACCTATGGAGTAATACTCTGCAGAACAGACTCAGAGACACAATAAAGTCCTGCATGACTTATATACAAGAATATCTAAAGCCACTTCTGACTCATTTGTACCTGTAATTCTTCATTATCTAGGAGTTCCCTGCTTTTCCTCTGTAGAAAGACAGCTCTAGATTCTTCTCTTAATTTCTGTAATAAGACTTCATCTTCAGCTGGCAACTAAAAACACATTAGAGAAGTCACCTTACATCCATGTGAAGTTAAACAGGACTAGTTTAACAGTCTGGGCAAAGAAAGCAATGCCTGTTGAGACTAAATCACCCAATAGGACACTGATTACTAATATCTACAATAAAAATTAAAAGAGCCTATAGAACAAAAAAGGAGTAACAATTTTTCTTTCTTATACCAATTTATATAAAATCTCAAGATTTTAGTGGATATAAAGTATTTTATCATAGTAATAACTCAACTGTAATAAAATATACAAAATGTTCAATGTAACCCTCTAATTTTTAAGATATATGCTTTGATCCCACTTTTGAAATTACATTTCATTTACAGACTCATAATTATCCATTCAGACAACACTTACCCTGTAATAAAACCGGGGAATGGTCTTATAGAATTCATTTGTGTGTTTTCTACCTCCTTTCCATTCTGAGTAGTATTTGGTAAATAAATCCATTTCTTCATCTTTTAATTCTTGTTCGCTCTTTTTTCCTAGTAACAACAACAATAAAAAATTCAGGCAAGAAAAGCATTAATATATTATTTTTATTCAGTATAGCCTATGCAATTGAGTCTAGTTAAAATAGCTGCAGTGGCAGAAAGGCCTTCAAAACTGATTAGACAAGGGAGGGGGCTACACCTGGGATACAAAGTCACTAAACTGTAATTAATAAAAAGTAAATAAATTAAAAAAAACTGATTAGGTATGGAACATACAAATCTGAACATACTAACTTCTTGGAACTCGCCAATTATAGACTAGCCTAACTTGCACTGGTCTTCCTGCTTCTGCCTCCGGAGTGAATTCCAGGTATGTACCTGGTCTAAGAAAGTTTATATGCTAATGAAATTATGAAAACCTGATGATACAGGTGAAGGCTATCCTTAAGACTACATCCTTGAGTAGAAAAAGACTTAGTCATGGATGGGATCTGCTACACGGATGGCAATAGTCTTAAGTAGGAGCTATTACTATTGCCCACAAAATCTAGATAATTTGCTCTATACTCACACCCAGTAGTAGCATTCCTATTAAAGGTGAAGAGAAATATAATAAACTTTGTTTTTTGTTTTGTTTTTTTTTTTGAGACAGGGTTTCTCTGTGTAGTCATGGCTGTCCTGGAACTCACTCTATAGACCTGCTTGGCCTCAAACTCACAGAGATCCACCTGCCTCTGCCTCTGCCTCTGCACCACCACCACCACCCTGCCCCTGTGCTGGGATTATAGGTGTGAGCCACCACTGCCCAGTTGGAGGGGAGCTGGAGAGATGACTGAGCACCTGCTGCTCTTGAAGAGGGCTTCGGTTTGTTTCCCAGCACCCACAGGGCAGCTCCCTGTGTAACTCCTCTTCTGGCCTTGGCGGGTATCAGGTCTCAAGGAAATCTGGGACACATGGCTAAGGTGCCTACTGACACATCAAAGTGGAAGCGGGGCACAGCCTCACCCAATACCTGTGACCCCTCTCAGCACTGCTCACCCCCCAACCCTCCAGCCCAAAGGCTGGCCCTTTTTCCTTCAGGCTCTGATGCGCTGGAACTCAGCCATGCTGGCTGAGCACTGTCTCAGCTCTGCCCTTGATTCCCATGCGCTCTCCTCTCTTGCTCCCCACTTCTCCCCTCTCATGGCGGGTCTGCTGGACATGTTCACTCTGAACTCTCCCTCATATCTACAATAAATACTTCTCAACCATATCTAGGAGTAGTCATGTCCTCATTTTCCCTCAGCAGACAATGCATGAGAATGGTACACTTACATCCACGCAGGCTACTACATCTTTGTTAATGGCAATGGAAATGATCGAGGAGAAAAAGTAAAGTTGATAATGTGTGTGAGAGAGGAAAAACTAAAGAGAAGCCAGTGAATATATGAAAAGGAACATAATCTAGTGAGGGATTCGGGGGACTCAAGTATGATTACATACAATTATTTTCTTGTCCTTTTCTAGAGACAGGGTTTCTCTGTATAACCCTGGTTGACCTGGTCTCCAACTCCTAGAACCACCTGCCTCTGTCTCCCAAGAGCTGGGATTAAAAGTGTGAGCCACCACTGCCCAGTGACAATTCATTTTTAAAGAGGAATGCTGAATGTAAGACCTGAGAGAAATGGTAAGCGGACACAGGTTGGGTTCTCCTTTTTAACTCCACCTACTTCCTCTTTGAGATATACATTTGGAAAACAAATTCTCCACTTGAAGGTGAACAATGGTGAGGACAGACTGGAGGGTTGGATAGATTAGAGGAATTAAGTGTAGGAAAGCAAACACTGTTCTTGCAGAACTGACTTTAGCTTAGTGGACATGGATTCTAAAAACTCACCATGGTTCTGTTTTTCTTTTTAGTTTGGGAGTCTAGCCTATAATGGCTGAGCCGTGTCCTCAGTCAGGTTCTATTTTTCTTTAGTCAATTTCTGCTTCCTGGGTGGTGTGGAACTGGAAGGATTTAACCAGACTGACTGGAAAGCAAGTGTGAAGGACCAGGGAAGGAACAAATTAATGAAATTTAAAATGGAGGGTTAAATGAAGAGTGAAACTTAAAAGGCACCAGACATTTGGAAGGCTGAGGCAAAGAGGGTCAGTAATTCAAGTCTAGCCTAGGCTACATGATAAAACCCTGTTTCTAGGGAGGAAAGGATGAATTAGAAGTCTTCGTATGACTGAAGGTTTGTTGGAACCAAGGTTCTCAGTTATTCCTCCTAAGTCTAAGATCGTGGAAAACGGGCGGCATGGTAATGCTTTTCGTTCCTAGCGGGCCATGTACCAGGGAAGTTTGGGTCACTCCTCGGTGGATCTCTAAAGCACATTCCATTCTGACTCCTTTGTCACAGAAGTAAAACAGACGCGGAAAGTACAGCTCGCACTTCCTCCTCCTCCCCTTCACCCTCTCCGCCACTTCTAGCCTGGGGCGGGCTATCTAGCGGGCGGTCCCTCCCAAACTCACTCTTTGGATTCTTGTTAGGCGACGCTAACCGCCGGCGAAGGACGTCTTTCCAGTCCATGGCTGACTCCCGCTCAGAGGACCCTACATTTGAGGCTTCGTAACCGCCCCACCCCACTACCAGCTGCTACGTCAGGCGCCACCAAAGCAGGTGGGAGTTAAGAAGGCCGCCGGGACGCCATCTTGGACACGGGCGGAAGCTTCGGCTACAAAGGCAAAAAGCCGAATGTTGTAGCTGTTCTAGAGACGGTGGTCACGCTAGCAGGGAGGAAAATCAGGTATTAAATAGATTAAAAATAATCCTTCTTATGGAGGTGTCCCAGCTCACTAAACCAGATTTTAAAGGCCAGACGAAGCCTGCATGACTTCTTTGCTGTGGGCTTTTGGCGCCTGCGCGCCACAGGAAGTAGGACTCCATTGGCATTTCCGACTTGAGAAAAGCACTTTCGTCGCATTTTGTTCTCGCTCTGGAAGCCTCAACAATGCCTAAAATGTAATAGACTCTTCAGAAGCCGTACCCAGCCCTGTTGAGTACCAGAAGTTTCAAAATTACTTTCTTTTTCCTGTTTATCTTTGCTAGGCTCAACAGAACGCCTGAATTCTAGCCATTCAGGCCCTAGAGGCTCACTCGGCGCGGTGCATTGTGGGTACTGTAGTTTTCTCCGTATTTATGGTTACTTTAAGCAAGCGTGGCGGGGTTGGTTCAATGAAGTGAACTTCTTTTGGTGGCCCTCGGTACAGTTAAGTCTGAGCTCTTTCTGAACCTTCCTTTCTTCCCCATGATGTTTCTGCTGCACTCCCGTGATCCCTCGTCTATGAAGAGTTTTGCCCCCTGGAGAGAGTTGTGAAGAGCAAAGGACCCTAGACTGGCTTTTCTTGCTGCTGATGGATGTGGCTGCGGTTGGCGGTTCCTTAATCTCTCTGTTTTAGCATGCTTGGTATCTCGCCCCTCTTCAGGACGGCCGTGATCCACATGAGTCGAACTGGGAGGTCCTTCTTGTGCTCTTTCCTCAAATTCGAAAATCGTAAAGTAACAGGCACCTCAGGTTTCCCGTTCTGGCTTCTGCTTTAAAGGGATTGGTTCTGGTGTTGGATGTCCCTGTTTAATGGAGAGAAGTCGTGTGCTTTCCTTGCGATTAAATAACTTCTAAAGCATAATCTTGATTTGTTTGTAAGGCAGAGACAAAAAGTTACCTTTTCAAGAATTCTGCTTCAGCTATCTTCAACCCCCAATCCCTTAATTTTACATAGTAGAGTGGAGCAGTTTTATTTTTAAGTCTCTTTAAATCCACTGCAGAATGACCTTCTATTTGTCTGGTTTTCGGAGCTTTCCGAAACTTTGGAAGAGCAACCCAAAGTTAGGTCCTGCGACCTCTTCTGTCCCCTTTTTTCTCACGGTTAACTGTGTCACCAGGAACCAACAGAGATGGTTTTCTGTTAAACCCACGTCCCCTCCAAATAGCAAAGCAATGAATCTGCTGATTACCAAGGCAAGAGCACTCAAGAAAGGAAGTGACAGAAATGAGCACGCTTCTTCGGCTCCTCATTATTTTGCTGCTGGAGCAGCTAAGAAGAGGTCACACCTAAATAGTAACCCTCAGAATGGGGATCATGCCTCACCACCTGTGAGAAGCACTATCCAACTTCCAACTAAACCTTTGAGTTCCAAAGAGTGGGATAAACTTAAAGAAGATTTTAAAGGAAAGGCCAATTTTGAAGACTGGGTCATTTCACAGATGGCGCGCAGCTGTAGTTCTGTAGAGGTGGCTAAGTCTCTCCTGGCATGGGTAGCAGCGAAGAACAATGGCATTGTGGGATATAATTTACTCGTCAGGTATTTGTATCTCTGTGTCTTTCATAAGCAGACATCAGAAGTTATTGATGTCTATGAAATCATGAAAGCCAGGTACAAGACTTTAGAATCTGAGGGTTACACCCTTCTCATGCGTGGATTAATCCGCTCAGACAGATGGAGAGAGGCCTTGCTGCTGTTAGAAGACTTTAAAAAAGTCATGACCCCTTCAAGAAAAAACTATGACGACTGTATACAGGGAGCCCTCCTTCATCAAGATGTGAACCTGGCTTGGAGTTTGTATCAGGAATTGTTAGGGCATAATCTCGTTCCTCTGATGGAAACTTTAAAAGCCTTCTTTGATTTTGGCAAAGACCTAAATGATGATCACTATTCAAACAAGCTACTGGACATTCTTTTGTATCTAAGGAACAATCAGCTGTACCCTGGAGAGTCATTTGCACACAGTATAAAAACATGGTTTGAAAGGTAATTTTGATTTTGTATGTGTTTTGTCGTAGTACCTATATTTTAAAACTAGTCCCTTTTTTTGTGTTGTTAGTTGCTGAGACTCCTGTTATTCCGGTTATGCCTTTTCCCATCTTGATATGAGTTGTTTCTCCTTTAAGACAAAAGATTCTCTTAAGAAAGTAGTAGGAATAATTTGTGTTAATCTCTGCTTGTCACATAAAAGGGAATTATAGAGCACCTTTTGTTTTTATATAAAGAGGTATCTTCTTTTTAGAACTAGTATTTTATTTTCTGAGGCCTCTAACATGAATAATGGGCAACATTACAACAAGAAAAGGGTGTGAAAGGGTTTGGGTGTTGGGCAGATGCATGTGTGAAGAAGAGAGGTTGACTCTGGGTTTTTTGTTTTGTTTGTTTTTGTTTTTGTCAAACTTCACCCTACTTTTAAGAGAGAGAGTCTGTGTAGACTCCGAGTTAATAAGCCCTGAATCTGCCTGACTCCACTCCCATATTGCTGGGGTGACAGGTTCAGGCTGCTGTCCCAGGTGTGTACATGGGGATCTCAACTCAGATCTTGCTTGTGCCGCAAGCCCTTTACCCAGTGGTCGTTTTCAAGCTTTAAAAAGTGCTGACTGAAATAATGTGCTGGGCTTAGTCTGTAATCCCTGTGTTTCATCACATGGAATGATTGGAATGGATGGCCAGTTCCTGATTAATCCTCATGTGCAAGCATTAAATGGAAAAACATCCTTCCAGTTTATTTTGGATCTTTTCTTGTTTGGCCAAACTCCCCTTTGCTTTGGCTCTTGTTATTAATCAGATAACTGTTCATTGCTTCACTCGTTTACTCTCATTTCTTCGCCATTAATTTATTGCAGGCCATTTCCTCAAAGCTCATTCCTTCTTTTCTCTCTTTTTGTTGCATATCACGTTTACAGAACTTTTAGGTAGCAATCATGTCTAATTATCTTAACATACTTATTGAGTATCAGAAGGGGAGTGAGAGTGTGAAAATCTTGCAATACCAAGGAGTTTTTTTTTTTTTTTTTTTTTCTTTTTTCTTTTTTTCTTTGAGACAAGGTTTCTGTGTAGCTCAAACTCAGAGTGACCCACCTGCCTCCACCTCCTGTACCTTTCAGAGTGCTGGGATTAAAAGTGTGAGCTACCATATCTGTCTTCTTCTGTTTTCAGGTACACTGTTTTTCCAGTAGAGTTTTAGATAATTCATGTCAAAACCACGAAAAGAGATGATGGGAAAGGAATTAAGATTGAAAATAGGTACATTTGTGTTTTTGTTTTGTTTTGTTTTTCTGTAGCCCTTGGCTGTCCTGGAACTTGCTCTGTAGACCAGGCTAGCCCTGAACTCAGAGATCTATTTGCCTTTGCTTCCCAAGTGCTGGGATTAAAGGCGTGCACCACCAATGCCTGGCTGGGATATTTGTTTGAATGCAATTTTAGATTTGAATGAGGTCATGAGGTCATGAATTAACTGGGGAAGGAAAGAGGGCGATGGAATCAAGAATCAATATGAGGTAATGGTAATTTACATAAGAGGAAGGATATGGCAATTGAGTGAAGAAATCACTAAGTAATTTTTAAATGGCGCCAATTACACTAGAGCCGCGTGTATATCTGGCATCATATCAATGAGGATGCCATTCCTGGCAGTGGTTTATGAGGTAGCAGAGTATGAGAGATGAGAGGAATTACTCCAAGCAGGTGCCATGTCAACAGCTTTCTGAAGAAGGTTAGAGTTAAGAATGTGATTTAAAGAATGTGTCTATACTTTTTGCATATTTGTAGTGAAAGTAGATTTAGATATGGGTTCTGTTCTTGTTTTGTTTGAGATAGGGTCTCTGTGTAGCTTCGGCTGTTCTGGAACTCTCTGTGTAGACCAGGCTGGTCTTGAACTCATAGAGACATGCTTGTATCTGCCCTCCAGAACTAGAAATAAAGAGCATGTGCCACCATGACCCTTAGATGAGACTTGGACAAGGAGACTTATGTCAAGAGATGAACCAAAAGGATCTAATAGAACTCTGCCCCATCCTTAACCCTGGCCACAGCCTAGAAGCCATTGTAAAAGCCATCCCAAGAAAGTATTCTGAACTTCTCAGAGCTCTTCCTTACAGAATGTTATATAGTGGCTGTCTGTCATTAGGTTCAGTAGGGATTTTTAACTTTCTGATAATTTGGTTTGTCATTTTTTTGTAGTATTCCTGGAAGACAATGGAAAGGACAGTTCACCACAATCCAGAAAAGGTAAAGACCATTGTTTGTCTTCAATTTGTTTGATTCCGACACAGTAAGTTCTGTTGGTATTGACTTAAATAGGAAGGGCTGGAGAGATGGTGCAGTGGTGAGGAGTTCTTCCCACTCCTTCCGCCAGCGCTGGGTCAGTTCCCAGCATCCATAGCTGCTGGCTCACAGCTGCTACAATTCCAGTTTCAGGTGATCTTCGCCCTCGACCTGTACCTGCACTCACATGCACACGCCCCACACACTCACACAAACACCAAACACACAATTAAAAATAAATCTTCAAGCCAGGAGGTGTTGGCACACGCCTGTATCCCAGCACTCAGGAGGCAGATGAAGGCAGATCTCTGTGAGTCTGAGGCCAGCCTGGTCTGTGGAGTGAGTCCAAGAGAGCCAGGACTACACAAAGAAACTCTGTCTTGAAAAACCAATAAATAAATACAGAAAAAAAGAAAACTTTTTTTTTTTTTTTTTCATCTAGATGCCTAGCAATTGTCTCTTCTGGGCTTTCTGGTAAGCTGATAAGTAATATTTTCAAGTTCACACACACACACAAATCAAATGTGATGATCACAAAGGTTTTAATATTAGTATTAGTACATTTTTGTTTCCTTGTGCTTTGGAATTACTCATTTTAGGAAAAAAGTTATTTTCTAAGACATTATTTAATCTAAAACATTTCACTTACAGTGGCCAGTGTTCAGGCTGTGGCAGAGCCATAGAGTCTATTCAGCTGAGTCCAGAAGAATATGAATTTCTCAAGGGAAGATTCATGAGGGATGTGATAGATGGTGGCGACCAATATAAGAAGACGACGCCTCAGGTGAGTCTGGCAGGCGTTACGGTATTCTCAGATTGCTTGTCCAAAGCAGAGGCCAACAACAAGAGAAACATTGTTGGCAAATATTTTGTGCTTTGTGAGCTGTGCAGTCTCTTGTAATGTTTTGGTTATATTATAGTTAAAACAGCAATGGACAATATATAAATGAAAGATTGTGACTGTTCCACTGAAACTAGTCACAAGGACTAGGAAGAGGCCAGTGGGTGAGGTGGATCATATGCATGCCCGGGGCCCACGGAGGAAAGGAAAGGCATAAAATCCCCTGGAACTGGAGTGGCTGTGAGTCACCATATGGGTGCTGGGAACGGAGCCTGATCTTCTGCAAGAGCAAGTGCTTTCAACCCTGAGCCATCTCTCCAGCATGCCCCACTCCCATCCTTCAACTCTTCCTGTGCCCCTCCATCTCAGATTTATGGCGTCATTGTCTTCAGTTATTGTCCTTGTGGGCCTTTTCTTACAGAGGACCTCAGTTCAGTTCCCAGCACCTATATGGTAGCTTAAAACTACCCCTAACTTCTGATCCTGGTACCCTCTTCTGGCTTCCACCAGCACCTGGCACACACACACACAACACATATGCACATGTCGACAAGACACTCATACACGTAAAATAAAAACATATCTTTAAAAGTGATTATTGTTGGGGGTCTTCCAGAGGTCCTGAGTTCAATTCCCGGCAACCACATGGTGGCTTACAACCATCTATAGTAGGATCAGATGCCCTCTTCTGGCATGCAGATAGAGCACTCATGCATAAAATTGAATGAACAAATATTTAAAAAATTATTGTTATATATCTATACATACATGTATGTGCACATATGTATATTCTCTGTCTGTCTATCTATCTAATCGATCGATCTATCTATCTATCCATCCATAAAACTGCTGGGTACATTCAATGTTGCTCACTTATGTGACCATTTAGGATTTGATAACCTATAGTCTAGATAATTAATTTGGTACATGGGTTTCTCAAATTTCATATTTGTGAACCATCAGAATATCTTAAAATGCAAATTCTAAATGAGATGTTGGGAATGAGGCCTAAGGTTCTGTATTTCAAACAAGACTAGATGATGTTATTTTGGTCTTTGGCTAAGACTGTAGGCTGTTTAACTGTTTACTCTGCAGTGGTTTGGTGGAAAGGCCTTTGAATATGCTACATGCCATATGCTTCTTGGTGTAACACACACCTTCCCTCTGTTGCTGATGCTCACCTGTGCGGGGCAGGGTATTGTTTCTATGACACTGGGTAGGAACAGGGTCTCCTGCACATATACCAGGCAGGCACTCTACCACTAAGCTCCGAGTCCCAGTCTCTGAGGCTGTTTGAACACTCGATGAAGAGTGATTGACAGATCTCTCTGTATGAAGGCACATTTCCTGCTCTATGGTTAATAAGTAGCCTGTGAGGTAACATCGTGAGCCCATGCTGATAGCATGGCACCCATTACCCTTTTATCCAGTGGTTTTTAGCATCATGGAAATGATCCCCAGTTTAAAATTGCAAAGAGGTGCTTTTGTCATTATTTCAGTTCTTCCCACATCTAGTAACTGGCATTATGTTGTATGTAATATTTCTTATCTTTCTTTTTTTTTGTCACCAATGTAGACATAGGACTCTTTCATAACTCTGTGTTGGGATCCATTGCTGTCATTTATGTTGATTTTCCCTGACTTGGCTAGTGGGAACCCCTTCAAACGGTCCTTGTCCTTTGCTGTTATTTATATTGATTTTCCCTGACATGGCTAGGGAAGCCCCTTCAAATGGCCCTCGATCCTTTGACACCTGTCCGTCCCTACCCCAGGCACTCCCCAGTCATGGAGCTCTCCTAAGTGGATTCTTTTGCTTCATACTACCAACAGCTCCACAGTGCAGGGTTCGTTTTAAATACTTACTTATTCTAAATGAGTAGAAGGAAGTGTTGTTCATCTTTCTGTGCTGATTGGAACTCAGATGAAATCTTCCCCTTGGATCCTGATGCTTCCAGGTTCTAGGAAGTGCTGTGAATAGCAAAAGGATTTGACGTGTTAAATCAGCCCAACTCACAGAGCTGCCAACTCTCTTCATAGAGCTTGGGGACATAAGTTTTTCCTTGGCTCTTTACTAGTATCGTTTCCTCTTCCTTGTGCCCTAATTCTTATAGTAAAAGACGCTTAAACTATTAGAAAATAATAATAGCTACAGTGCATATTTAATGATTACTGTCAATGAAAAAAATAATTTTTAAAGAGAATGTTAATTATGGAATCAATTATGATCTGGGAATGTAGATTCAAGTTACCCCAAATTCCATTTTCCAATGTGGTAACAGTTTCATTACATTTTTAGAGGAACAAAACAAAAAGTCATAAAAACTGTCTAGTGGAACCATCACATAGGCATGCTATGGTGGAGTGGGGAGGTCTCTGTTATAGGCCTCAGGTGCCCTGGTGACAGCTGGTGGAAGAGAAGTGTTTGTTTCTAAAAGTGTTTACCTACTAGTCACAGGATGTTAGATCACATGCTGAAGTGGGCAGTAAATGGCTATTTAGAGGGTTAAAATAGCCCAAGATAATTCAGCCCTGGACCTTCAGCATTCCTGCTTTCCATAATCACTGGAATTCTAATCAGTCAGTCAGCCTTTCAGAATGTTGAGCATAGGTGCAGCTTTTCTTTCTTTCTTTCTTTCTTTCTTTCTTTCTTTCTTTCTTTCTTTCTCTCTCTCTCTCTCTCTCTCTCTCTCTCTTTTCTTTCTTCCCTCCCTCTCTCCCTCCCTCCTTTCTCTGGGAACTTTGCTTGACATAATGTATGTCATGCACCTCTCGGCCTGTTATAGTCACAAAGTCCGAAAGCTCGGGATAAGAAGTGTGGCTGTGGTTCACTGGCTGGATTGATTCAGGACTTAATCTGCAGGAGAGGCGAGGCAGGAATGGGTTTAGAGCACTTCTGTTGAATAGGAGTGAAACCAACTCATTCTGAGCTGGAACGAGGAATTAAGGGTGAGGGGTAAGGTGGGTGAACAGATGACATGATGAACTTGGTGCTTTTGTTCAGACTTGTAGTTTCTCTGAAGTGCAGGAAGCAAATTGTTCACTTAAAGGAAAGAAAATGATGGTAGCTTTCGGGAAGAGTTAAAGTCCTAGAGGTTTGGATCATTTGTGAAACAACGAATCAACGTATTGCTGTCCCCGAGTTGAGGCTGGAGGATGTATTACCAATGGCATCGATCTATCACAACAAGCCGTTTTCAGAAGTCTTAGGCCATCTGTCTAGGAACAGAAAAGACAAGTGAAACTGATGGTGCAAGGTTTTTCTAGTCTGGTACAATTGAGGGAAATGGGAAAATAAGAGGTGAGAAGGTGGCTGGGTGAATGAGACTATGTTTAATGAGGAAGGAAATGAGGATGGTGGGAGCTCGTGGGCTTGGAGGTGATAGGAATTAGAGTGGGCCAGGAGCTCCTTGAAGCTGAAGAGCGTAGAGAGCATAGCCATGACAATCAGGGTTCCGTCAGTGCTGCCCCGAATTGAATTTTCGAGAAGGGGTGTGGAGTGCAGGTGCTGACAAGAGCCAGATAGGGCTGGACAGACAGACACAGCCGTCGAGAGTGTCCGTGGAGGAGACTGATTCCACTTTACTTATTTTTTCCTTTCGGTTCTAGGGATCAAACCTGGGGTCTTCTGCGTGTCAGTCGGTACTATTGGGCTGTTAGTCCTCTATGATAATCTGCATCTTTCCTTCCCTCCATCAGCTTCCCTCTTCAAAGTCTCTCTCTCTCTCTCTTTTTTTTTTAAGACAGAGCTTCTGCCAGGTGTGGTGGAACACGCCTTTAATCCCAGCATTCTGAAGGCAGAGGCAATTGCTTCTCTGAGTTTGAGACTAGCCTGGTCTAAGAGTTCCAGAACAGCTGAGGGGTCCACTGGGAAACCCTGCCTTGAAACAAGCAAACAAGGAACTCAGAGGACAACTTATGGGAGTAGTCCTTGCCAACCTCAACTTGTTATGTAGACCAGACTAGCCTTGAACTCTACCTCCTGAGTGCTGGGATTAAAGACAGGGGCCACCATAACTGCCCTCCCTATATGATACTTTAAAGTAATAATTACACATCTATGAAATACTTGTCATGTGCCAGCATTTTGCTTTGCCACTTATGTTGGAGATGAAAACTGAGTGAGTACCAAATTCTCCATCAATATGCCAGTGTCTGTCACAGCGAGTAGCAAAGAAGGAAAGGTATAGAATGACATATGTCAAGGGACAGCAAACTGCAGATCACAGAGCAGATCAGGCTGCTACTTGTCTGTATAAATACAAATTTGTTGGTGGAGCTGGAGAGATGGCTCAGTGGTTAAGAGCACTGTCTGCTCTTCCAAAGGACTTGGGTTCAATTCCCAGCACCCACATGGCAGCTCACAACTGTCTGTAACCCCAAATCCAAGGGATCTGACACCGTCACACAAATGTACATAAAATAAAATTAAATAAATTATTTAAAAAAATTTTTTGGAACACAAATGACATCATTTATTTATTTACAGTTTGCAGCTTATGTTTGTCCTGAAGAATTGAGTAGCTACTTAAGACCATATGCCCTGCCGAGCTGTAATATTTACCATTTGGCGCTTTAAAGAAAACATTTGCCAACCTGTGGCATAGGTGAATGTCAGAAGCCTCAGCAGAAGCAAGGAGACAAGTATGAGTTTAAAGGAGCAGTGGGAGGAGAAGGCCTGTGTCTGTGGTTGGTCTGTGTTTGTTGTCTGGGCAGGATGTTGAATTAAAGGGTTTTTTCTATGCCAGCTTTAGTTTCCAAATAATGAGATGGAGACCTGTTGCATTTATTAATAAGCTTCAAAGCACTATAGCTGGGCAGATTCTCATCTATTCTAACCCGACTATGCTAGCCTGGCCTACTTCCCAGCCACATGCCTGTCACCTGTCTTCTAGTCTCACCCTGACTGCTCCTGCTCCATCTTTGTCCTCATGGCCTGGCGATCA